CAACTCCCAGAATTCCCCAGCCAGCCATGCTGGCTGGAGAATTCTGGGAGCTGAAGTCCACTCATCTTAAAGTGGCCAAGTTTGGACAACACTGTCTTAGTAGGTGTTGTGTATCACACTGCAAGGTATCAGCACAGATGCCGGTAGCACCCTAATACAGGACTGCTTCTGCATTCTCTCCTCTGTTTCATACACAAGTCTCATATATACCTGCAGCACCAACAACAGGTGAGCTATTCAGTTAATAATCACACTAGGATCATTGCATCTTTGATACAAACTAACATGATGCAAACATCCAGGCTAATCTGCGTAACAGAATGTAACTGTCCACAAAATGTTTATGCTTCCCAAAAGTTGTGAGGTAATTCTCAGACCAAAAATTGTTTTGCATGTATCAATGCACATTTAAAAAGAGCATACCATCAGAAATGTATAATGATAGGAAACAGTATGTTTAGAAATATGTATCTGCATTTATATTCATATTTAAATATCACAAATTCTTAACTGGGTACTTTATCAGGCCAAGCAAAATGACACAAAATAGCATGTGCACTTTTAAATTTTCTGAGATTCTTAATCAGTTCAATTGTTATAAAAACAGAGGATAATACGAAGCAAAACAAACCGAAAAATTAGGCCAGATGTTTCAGCCATTAGAAATGCTTTGTTTAAATATGAACTTGTATTCATTTTTACCCAATTTGCAAATTAATGTTGAAATGGGATTGGGAGGATTCATGAACAAATATATTCAAAAGTTACCAAAATGAGATTGATTTATTTTATCTTCACCCTCTGGGAGCATGTGTGAATATCACCACCACATGGAAAAAAGTAACATGGGTCTTTTGCATATGTTTACCTCTAACACAGCCTTCCACAATCTGGTACTCAGCAAATGTGTTGGGATACAGTTCCATGCTGGCTGAGAATTCTCAGTATAGTAATATCAATAAATCTTAAGATCTGAGAATTCTGCCATAGCAAGATGCCAATTAATTTGGAAAGTCCTTAGCAATTGGCCTCTCCTGCATGACTGTCGTATTCATCCACATTTCTGAAAATGTGAGACTCCCCTTTAAATCCTTGGGAGTTGGAATGGTATAATTGGTTCCTCTATCAATGGAACCTGTTTTAATTCTTGTTGGTTTGGTTGTTGGGTATTCCTGGTCCTACATATGCAATTTTACAAATTTATACGGATATCATACTTTATTTGCATGCTAATCTGAGTTTACAGATCTAAGAATTGTACACTGCACAGAATTAGTTTTGAGTGGAGCAGCTTGTAAGCCTTGTAAATAAAATAATAGAATAAAATAAATCCCTGTTAGGAAAGGAAAGAGCCCTTTATCAGCCAAATAACCTACCTTTATCAACTATCCAAAGCCACATTCAATTATACTTGTTTCCCTCTCGGGTTTCCTTACCGTTTCATCTGGCTGATAAAATTCATCTGATATCCTGAGCATAATCCTTGTTTAAAAGGTGATTACTCTTTCACCACACAGAGGTTGCTTGTCACCTTGCACTCTTATTAAAAACAGAATTTTACAGCAGCTTTGAGGAATGCATCCATACACGGTGAATGTCTTTTGATCATGGCTGGGAATTTGATGGTGAGCCAGGGACTGTTTCTCACTGAAGAAATAAGCCATTTGCACTCATCATGAGCTAGACTCTACTACTGTTCTGAAACAGATTTTACAACAACTGAGAAATAAGATATTTCCCCAGTGGCATGGTGTAATTTCTATCCAGCTTCCATGTACCAAAATGGTGGCTTGATTATAATTACCGTAAGGCAAATGCTGTTGCATTAATTGTAACACTTTTGGTCTTTATCTGGGGTTGAATTTCATGTGCTTCTTTCATCATCTATATTCTACAATTGGTTTAACAATTTATGATCCCTCTGCCTGCCTCTCATTGAAACTGTCTAATGCAGTGTCTGACCTTCCATTTCTTCACCTACTGTACGTAACTTGGCTCTTCGCTGTTCATTAAATATCTGACTTTTTTTAAGGCACTATGTAATGAAATGCATTTCATTTTACTAACCTCTTTGTTGTTGAACACAGAGTGTAGGCAGACCACTCTAACTTAGAGAATCTATTGTTCCATAGAAGAGCATTCTGCTCTCAGTGCGCATCGGCCTTTATCAATCTGCTGCACATCTAGTGTTTTGGTCTTCAACCAGAATTCCTCTCCACCATGTTCTGCCAATGTAACGTTTCCAATGAACACAGGTGAAGTGGAGGCAATATATTGCAGCACTTATCTCCATCTCCCCTCCATGCACTTTTTACTTCAAGTTCAGAAATTATCAAAAAATGCGAGCTCAAGTAATCTTCTTTCAAATTAAAGCAATAAATATTTTGCCTTCTGGTTTCTTTTCTGTTTTAAATGATCTATTTAGGCAACTGACAAATGCTACAGGTTGAAGAAGATGAGGCTAGAAAACCCCCCATGCAGAGA